AGCATGTGCCATAGATGCTTTTATATAGAACCTTTTTAAAAAGGGTTCCGTATAGCGCCAAAAAGTGTTCTACTTATGTTACAATGTCAAGCTTATAACAATAAAAGAACCTTTTTGGGTGCTATATAGAACCCTTTTCGAAAAAGTTCTATATAGAACCATCTTCAGCATATTCTCTATCAATCTGAAGACCCCCTTTATGATGTAAAGAACCCTTTAAACGTGCAAATCATTCTTTGAGTGTTCATGGTTCTATATAGAACCATTGTCTTTACTAAAGAACTCTTGAAGAACCATCTTTTTTAAGAGTGTACCACACTGAGATCATACAGAAAGATATTGAGATTGTAATATACTTTGAAATATTTAAAAATACGTTATTCAATTTATTTATTTTTGTTGGATCTTGTAAATTCCACTGTTCATCCAAACATCTACAGATGTTCATTAGGAAGTTTGGTCACAATTCTCAGAGCTAGCGTTGGGCTGATAATTATTGATATTATTGAACATTGTGATTACTTAAGTACGTGCAAATATTATGAAAATAAATCAGTCTTCTTCCAATCCAATTTCAATCTCTTTGTCTTTCACTCTGGCAAGGAATGTTGGAGAACAAAAACTCTGGTGTATGAGATCTAGTCTTTAGTAGAGAGTGAAATGGACAAGCTTGTCCAGATGACACGAAGGCAGTTTGTTGATTTTGCCAGTAGGTGATTTGACAGACCCACTGCTCTCCAACAGACTAAGCCAAGTTTAGAATTTGGATCATGTTTATTGCAATAATTCAGCTGGACGATTATCGTAAATTGACATTATTTTCCAAGCTTACTCAGAGCACACATATTGGTATCGTAATAGCCAGTATCATGATATCGATTAACAAATATTATATTTTGTAGCTCAGTTTTCTACCAGGACATCAGAATGCAAGAAATGCTCCTGTTCCAAACTCCTCTATTCCCACTGGCCATACCTGCCATGTGTTGAGAAAGACCAGCAATGGAGTTCTAGGCCTGGGACTAATGTGCAGAAACCACAACCACACCTCAGCTAAACACATTTACTTCAGCAATTTCACATGTGATGCAATGCACACAATGATTTCGACTCTAATGACAGTGTTTCATGAGCTTCTGTTTCCCAACAAGCCAACCAGTATCAATTTTCATCCGTTAACCACCTAATGAGTTATAATTTCAGATGGTTGCACAATTTGATGATGTTAATTGGAACTCATAACAAATGACTGAACAAAATCTCCCAGAGCAATTGGCCATCGAACAGAAGCGGCATTTAGTGGAGTCAAACAGGATTAGCTGATATTGCAGCTGTGTTTCCAGTCTTCAGGTACAAGCATTAATAACGCTGCCTTAATTGTACTGGAAATACTCTACACACGGCTCCTAATTGGTTCTTGGCTGGGATGTATGACTCTAGGGATCTTTATATTACGTAGAGGTTATTTATGTGTTAAAATTGTTCATCACACACTGATTACATTTACAAAATTGGTTGTTTAACTGGGAATTCTGCTGATTTTTAAAAATGCCAGCACAATTAAATTACAAATGTAAACAGTCTTTCAGAGGGGTTTGGTGTAAAATGTGTTTGATGTGAAACCAAGTCATTGGTGGTAATGGAAACCAGATGTGTGAAGAGTTTAATGCCTCCAAAAGCAAACCTCACAGGTTGATATTACATAAAATGGTTACAATATCATGCCCAATGCCTGATATGTTGTTTTACCATAGTTTTAAGGTAAGTGTTGGGATTAAAACATATTTATATGGCTGAGAGGTACATGCAGGGTGCTGTAAGGCAAACTAGTTCCCAAAGAAAACATTTTCAGATGTATAACTATTTAAACATTATTAACACTGCATATAAAAATTCAAGACATATGTAGGTTCACTGGTGCTTTTGGATAGTAAATAAAATGGCCATATTTGTTTTACCACCACTTTGAAGAAGTCAGTGAGTTTCTCAACAATAAACCATTTCACATCAAACCACTCTGAATAACTTGCCAACAATTGAATTATAGAAAAATGTTAATTTTTAATGAATTCTCCTTTAAAGTACACTCAAATTAAAGGTTCTTTGGCGAACACCTTTATTCTTTAAAGTGTGGTGATAAATAAGCACCATATTCCCCTCCAGCCCCGCTCTACACTCTCATGTCAAGCCAACTTAATAACTAGAAAGGAAAAATCTATGAACGAACTTTAAGTTTATAGCCAGCTAATTGTGTTAAAACGTTAAAATGGTGGAAGACTGTTGATGGTTGTAAAAGCATTACTAAAATGTTGCTAGCTGGTTGCTAGAGTATCCAAGGTGGATGGCAATGTGTTGCTAGGTGCTACCTTAAATGCAGTTCCACCTTAAATGCACTGAAACATTAAAGTCACTGCCACCCTAAATTCAGTGCCACCTTACCTGCAATTCTACCTTAAATTCAGTGCCACTTTAAATGCAGTGCCGCCTTAAATGCAGTGCCACCTTAAATGCAGTTCCACCTTAAATTTACTGATACCTAAATTCAGTGCCACCTTAAACGCAGTGCCAGCTTAAAGTCAGAGTCATTAAGTTTCTCCACAACAAACTATTTCACATCAAACCACTCTAAATAACTTTGGTATCCCAGCAATCAAATTCTAGAACATTTCAAAAAATTGGTGGAATTCCCCTTTAAAGAACTCTCAATTGAAAGGTCATTTGGCGAACACCTTCATTTTTTAAGTGCGGTAATAAATAAGCACCATCTTCCTCTCCAGCCCCACTCTACGCTCTCAGGTAGCCTAGACTACGCCGCCAGCTGAGCTTGTTCATCACCCCCAGGGTATAATTTCCAAAGATGCAAACACAGCTTGTAAAATTCACTAATCATGTGCCGTGTTTGTGCAGCGCTTAATCAGGCAGTGGCTCTGAAGAGGGCTGAGTCTCTCCGGTATCGAACACAGCTACACCAGAGACTCTCTCTCTCTCTCTCTCTCTCTCTCGCCCACTCACTCAGCTGTGTGTGTCACCTTGCTGCAGGCTACACACACACCATCACACACTCATACTCAGGTAGTCCATGCTCGAACACAAAACCCAACAGGCTTAAATCTGTGCCAGCTCCGCTAAACTAATACTCCTGAATGAAGCTGCAGTTCCTGCTGACCTGAGCATAAAACATACAAGCCCAAACAATGGAGGCAGACAGGCTAACTACTGAAAGTACCTACTTAGAGGAAGTTCAATAGGCTAAATTATTTCAGTTAACCCTTTCGATCCCAACAGGATGGCAGAGCACGCGCGTGGAATCCTGACACTTTTTACAGTTAGAAGCTTTAAATAAAACATTTATTATAAAACCAGAAGACAAATGGCAATTTGTCAGGCGAGTGCCACCTCTTTAATACAGGAGTTAGTAACAGGCGTTCAGTTTATGGTTTAACATGTAATAAGTGGTGATTTGAACATTTCGCTTATTTTCTGATTATTAATGCTGCGGCAGAGTGATTTGTTTCTGTTGTGCTTCATCTCATTTGTTCAGCCTGCTTGAACACAGAGGGCTGTATTCTCCATTCACCAAAGGTAAACAACGCCATAAATCCTTGCATTCTTAATGAGTGTTAAGGTTTAGGGACGTTTCCTTGGCATACAAATAATAAATAAAACATTTAACAGTTTATTACACAACATAGATTATTTTTATGGTTTAAATTCTGAAAATTATGAAAGATATTAAAATAAAAATGTTTAAATAAAAAAGAAATAGCCAATTAAAGTTCATCTGTTCTGTTTTGACTGCTGAACGACATTCAGGTGAAGAAGCTCAGCATGTCCTCAGTCACTTGTTTAGCTGTCGCAGAGCTGAGAGGTGGAGACAAACTACTTAGCTAGCTAGCTAGTCTGTATAGCTGCTTCCTAAAAGATATGAACTGCCATAAATCTATCTGGTATGGAAGTCCCAAGAGGCCATGAGCTGTGGCTACAATTTTCTAGATTGTTATCTTGAGATCACAACTTAGTTGTGTTGTGTTCTCAAGATAACAACTTTTGTTATCTCCAGATCACAAAATAATTAAGCTGTTAGCTTGAGATCACAAGACGATTAAGTCATGATGTCAAGATAACAACTTTGTTATGTTAAGATCACAAAATAATTGACATGATGTCAAGATAACAACTTTGTTATGCTGAGATCACACGATAGTTAAGTTGTGATCTCAAGATAACAATGAAGAAAATGATAACTACTTCAAGGCCTCTCTGGACTTCCATAAGTGGGGCAAAATCAACATTACACTGATCAAGATATGATGACAGTAGTAGATAATTCACTCATGTTTTTGGAAGACACATCCAAGTTTGACTAAGTTCTCTTTGAATTCTCTTTCAGCGTGCTCTCAAACATCAGATCAATCTACTTGGGGAAGGGGCCCAAAGCACAACCCACATTACAACATGTTGTGTGCAGTTACACATTTCCACCAGAGAGGTCTCCGAATCCCAACAACTTACACCGTGTAGCTTTAATAACAATGGTTTCGGATTCTGCAGCATGTCTTGTGTGCGGTGACCTTAAGGGGTCTCCTAAACATAGTGTTCTTTTGACAGAGACAACTTATTTGTATTGTTTGTTTACTACTTTTGTCCTGTATTGTGCAGTTATGCAAGAACTAGGGGTGTAACAGCGCACTGATGCACAATGCATCAATCTGAAGGTGCTTCAAATACATCCATTTTTGAATGTCAAAATGAATTATAACTGATTATAATAATATTCAACAAAGTATGACCTAATAGTTTTGGCAAAATAAAATGATCAAGCTATTTGCAAATGTAAATGCATCGTGTTTACACCACTTCTGTGTAACTAGCTCCACTCAAATTAGTAAATTCTGTGTGTTTTTAATAAAACTCAATTGAAGTGAATCATTATGAGATCAGAGTTTTACACTGAAATTCCTGATACATGCAAGTGCTAATGAAGTAATAGCGGTTCTGACCTGTGCGGAGCGGTCGGGCAGCCGGTAGTTCTGGTTCTGGAGGAAGCGGCAGCCGTCCTTGGCCAGCCTCTGCACCATCTCCAAACGGGACAACTCCTCCGGCGATCTCAGCGCGCACACACTGCCCTGCTGCAGAGCCGGAGGCAGAGAGAAGAGATACTTTAGCCCGCAGTCCCACGTCATGCTCCCCATCACTCCCTCACTCACAGAGCCAGGTAAGCCACCAGCCCTCAATCAACAGAGAACAGTCCCTTAATTCAATAAACTCCAGAGATGTAAGAGTGGGGTAGAGGCTCAGACTCTCAGTGTTGTCCAAAACTGTGGAAACAGACTGAAATAATAGGACTTGTTCATCCCCTGCTCCTTCTCTCCGTTCTCTAGACTGAAGTATGAGCGAGAGCACCCTCGTGCATTTCCTCACTGAGTAAGCATGTGTATTTGTGTGTGTGTGTGTGTGTGTGTGTAACTCCTCCCAAACAGAGGCGGGAAAAGTGCAGAAAGAGCAACTTAACTGCACTTCAACTTCAGAGTGGGGCAGCGCGGAGAAAAGGAAACTCTGGAGTATTTCGTTTCCTGATAGGAAGGGTTTCAGCAGACCTAAGCTTGAGCTTATCATAATACATGTTGGTACAGATCTGATGTGTGTGTGTTTATGTTCTTGATGTGTGTGTATATGTGTGTGTGGAGAAGGAGAGAAAATGAAAGAGAGTAGGGAGTTAAGTTTATGTGAAAAACTAAAAGTAAGTAAACTGAAAGTTAATACACACAAATATATATATATATATATATATGGAAAAAATAAACAAATTTCCATAATTTTCCTCTCATCCAAGATGTAGTCGATCTGCCATGACATGTTTGTGTCCAAAATTTGGGAAGGCAGGCACTATTGGTGCAGATTTACTAAGAGAGGCTATAATTACTGCTATTCTACTATTTTAGATACTTTTTCAGATACTTTGGTGCAACTTCATAATTACCAAATGAGTGTAATATATAAAAGTAATATATAAAAGTGTAATATAAGCATATAAGCACATGTTTCCACCTGGTTGAGGAGTTTTTGTTCTTCCCTGTTTCAGGTTCTAATTGTGACTCATTAGGTCGAAATGACTTTCTCAATATCTTGACTTAGTATTTCAGAGTAATGAGTCAAAAAATATTTATAATGCTCAGTCTGTTTGTAACACTCACCTGAATATCTATTAAATGTAATCGAATTTGAAAGTTAATAATAATAATATGTTAATAATGTATCTGTAGATCACCAACAGGGGACCATCAAAATAAAGTGTGACCAAAAAAAATTACAAAATTAAATCACAATGCAACAGTAAAGGAAACCTTGTGATTCTTCTATACAGTGATAGAAAACACAGCAGGTGCGTTTCACTCTGGCCAATGTGGACATGCATTCCTTAACTCCTCTTTAATCCTTTAAATGTTAGGGGGCAAACGGCAAATTCTTAGAATGGATCATATATTCATAAACATAAATGATATACATAATATGTTGCATCCATATGCCTGTGTGATGTGTATACATACAAAGAGGAGTCAGAATTCACCTGTTGTTCAAAATGACTCACTGTTGCATTCAGCTACATTGGGTGGTTTTGTTTATTTTTATAGCTCACAGTAAATCACATTGTGTCCTAAACCACATCTGTACAACATTAATGAACAGCTGGATGTGATTTAAGTGGACTGAGAGAAGTTTTGAGGATTTATCTAAAAAAAACATTTGGGTGACTATTGGCCTGTAGTGTTTGTTAGCAACACTGCCCACTTTTATTTGTGCATTATAACACTAATATCATTGGTAAACAACTGAGTTTTCCCAGATTGTTAAAGGGATACTCTGTCCAAATAAAGCATTTAACCATCAATACGTCTGATGTAAACATACTTACCTAACTAATCAGTGGTGACTCAGCAGGGAGATTTTCCATTTTAAAGACAAGGAAAAACCCCTTTCTGATGATGTGTGTTGAAAGTGAGAGACATTTTTTGAAAAACTACAAGCACTTTCAGGTGAGCTCTTTGCAAATGCAGAAGGAAGCATAGCTAACATTACTGCAAGGATGTCAAACATCTTATTCATTGCAATTCTGCATCAATAGAATGGGGAGAATAGATCCCTCAGATGACAAAAATGACTCGTTAGTAAGGTAGCTACCTGGCTATCCACATACTTTACCTAACTTTGGTGTTTTTTCCTGGCTAAAAGGGAAATAATGTGTCTCTGGTGTCCATTTTTCGCTGAATAAAAACAGAATCACTGCTTTCTTCACAATTTAGTTAAACAAACATGGTAAGAATTATGCTTGGATGTATTTATTAGCCTGTAGATCAGTAACTAGCAGTCAGAATTGGTTGACACTACAGGGATTCCCAATGGTAGTATAATGTGTTTGTGTAATGCATGCTGGGTATTGTAGTACTAGAACATAGTTGAAAGAAAACATGAAAATGATATAAAATTGTGAACTCTGTTAAACTAATGTGGCTGAGGGATGCAATGCAGCATTACAGAATAGTACATAACATGATAAACAACATATTAAACTCCGGAACCCCCCTTTAACAGAGCATCTGTAAATAAGCTATGGGGCTAACAATGTCCCAGCGGTTGTGAGCTGAACACACACAAGTACAGTCACATGTAAAAGTTTGGACTGGTCAACATGTTTTGTTCATTTTCCAATTGAAAATAAGTTAACACACCCTCTACAGAGAATATCTTAATGCACAATTAAAATCAAACAAAAATTGGCCCATGTAAAAGTTTTATGCTTTATTTTTTCCCAATGTATTAAACTCAGCAAATAAATAGAAATTGTTCACAAAAATGAGCATAGAATGTCATATTTAAGTGTGTCCTCTGTAGAGGATGTGTTAACTTATTTTCACTTAGAACAAAACATCATGTGACTAGGGGTGTTCAAACTTCTGCATTCGATTGTACATGTGATACAGCCTGAGTTGCTGGGACAGGGAGTGTGCTACCGTATCATTAGAGCCAGACCCCCTCCCATTTGTTTATTTACACTAGGCAGTGTTTTGATTGGCCCCAAGCACAGCTCTTCCTGTGAGGTAAAGCATCCCACGGTGCAAACAATGGGTCGGCGTCAGACGGCCAGCAGAACACTGACAGCGCACTCGTAAAAAACGTCCAAAAACACAAAAAAAGGGTAAAGAAAACATCCACAGGACGCATAGGAACAGCGTCTTTGACACATGGTGGCCTGGCCTCCATCTACTGAACTCACTCCCACCACAACTAAGTTCACTCCAACAAGCAGCTAGGCCTACAGGTGCCGTGCTAAGGGTGGCTTTGCATCAACCCCGTCAGAGGGAGATGTCTAGCACTACTGAAATATTAATGTGAGGTGTGCGTGTGATCAAACACACGCCATATGAGCACACGGTGGACCGCTGCATTTCTCCATGCAGCCTGAAGGAAGAGGTGGGTGTGAGTCACTGAGGCCTGTTTTAATGGCAGCTTCTAGTGGAGCAGTGGTCATTTATGAGCATGTCTGTGGGTCTGACCACATCTACGTAAAGAGGGAAGAGATGGAGATAGTAATAAGCATGGTAATAAGCCCTGGGGGAACCACAGAGGAGCTCTAATCAGATGCAGCACAGCTATGCTGTACACACAAACACATAGGGGAGGATAATATGATGATATAAATCTTGTCACAACATGCTTTTCTGGGTATGGTCAGTACATCTAGAACACTGAATGCATCATAAAACTGACCATTTACAAAAAGCCTGTAAACAACAATAACCGGTGTACAGTACTGCATAAACTGGACAGTAACCAATAGCCAGTTGGACATCAGCCCATTATGACATCTCATTTTAAACATTTATTTTCTCCAGGGCTGTCATGGTTAACATGTTAATAATGCATTAGGCATGACAAATTATTATTACTCTATTATTATTTTTCTAGTTTGAAACCTTGAACTATCCATAGTGCAGGCTGATGTATGTGGCTATGAAGGAATCCATGATTGTACCCCTCTCATTCAAATGACCTTTAAAGCGATGCTTTCAGCACTTTTGGCAGACAACGCTGGACAGTGCTGACAGGAAAACTATGGGAAAATCAACAAGCAGCAAACTAACAAAAGCAACAGCAAAGTGGATCTCCTGTTCCCCTCAAGACCCTCCACTATAACAAGAACCCACAGGCAGTATGAACCGGAGCAAGAGGCTAGAAACACAGAGGCTTCTAAGTGTTCATGGCATGGTTCTAAATATAACCATTTTCTTTACTAAAGAACCCTTCAAGGATCATTTTTAGAGTGTATTGAGCTGTTTTTTCCCCTCACATTTTTTTTTTGAAAAGGGTTCTATATAGTACCAAAAAGGGTTCTGTTTTTTTTTAAAAGGGTTCTATATACTACCAAAAAGGGTTCTGCTACTGTTACGATGTCAAGCTTGTAATAATAGAAGAACCTTTTTTTTCAAAAAGGTTCTATAAAGAACCATCTACAGCACATTCTCCATCAATCTGAAGAACACTTTCACAATGCAAAGAACCCTATAATCATGCATAGGATTCTTTGAAGGTTATGGTTCCATATAGAACCATTTTTTTTTACTAAAGAAACCCTTGAAGAACCATCTTTTTTTAAGTGTGTAGCTCTAAAAATCACAGCTCGCCACTGACTTCAACAAAGGAGAATTGGTTTTATGATTGTTCTAAGTTGACGCTAAATTGAATGGGTATTCGAGTGCAGCATTAAAGTTTAGGGCGTGTGTTCCAGAGAAGTATATTTTTAAACCTAGTAGTCATATTATGTTGTTTTCTTTGTCCACTCAGCGCCTCTAATGAGGAACTATTTCTTTCTCTGAGATTCGTATCGTTAACTATAAATAACTGACCGATTCTCTCTCTCATACACACAAACATACAGACGCAAACACATTCACACACAGCCTCACTCATCAGGACTGTCCTGCAGTAGTTTCCTCAGTAAATAAACAGTCTGATAAGCACTGTTGCTGGACCTGCCCCAGACTCTCCAGAGTGGCCATCTGCCCACGGCGCTTCCTGTTACCCCCTTACAACCACAACAAGCATGGGAATAAATACTCCAATCTAAAACTAA